CGAACGCTTTGCGAACGCTTTGCGATCGCTTTGCGAACACAACGCAACGACCTCGCGTCGCCTCCTGGACCCCTGGACCCCAACTTTAAAACGGGAACCCTTCTGCTACGCATTCGGGAAAAATAGTCCATGGCTCATGTGAACAGTGTACCAATTCAAGAGTTTACCAAATTTGTTCCTTACCTTGTAGTTTAGCGTTGAGGGTTGAGGGTTTAGGGTGGGGGGCTCAGGGTTGAGAGTTTAGGGTTCATCATATGCCTGGTCCTCTTCAAGGGCCGGCGAGAGCACACTGCAGGGGGGCTCTTGACTAAAGGAGGTCCAACAATAGTTGTAGACTCGGTTTCTGAGGGTATTGATAGCAGGCTTTGGTAACCCCATCGACTTCAGGGGCCTCATGTTGCATGCGATCTAGGGCTTAGGGTTTAGGGAATATCCAAACCGGATTCGAAAGGAACATGTGTTTCGGGTATGACCGAAAGTCAAAGCTACAGTGACCAAGAGAAGCTGCTAAGAGTTTGTGTGCGCATTTGGTGCGGATGGCTGTCAACGTAAAGTTGCTTGGACATGGGACTTAAGTAACTGCATATAATTGGGCTTAAACCCCCACTGGCACCTGGGATAGCTTACATAGGCCCTACTAATGGGAGTAGGAAAAACGGTTATGAGCCTAGTTTGAAGTAGTTACTGAGTCCCATGAAACTACACCCTAAACCCTAAGCCATAAACCATAACCTAAACTATAGACCATACCCTAAACCTTAAACCCTAAACCAACACAGTAAACCACTTCATGGCCCTAAGCCCCAAAACCCTGAGCTGGCTAACCACATTAACTATCAATTGAATGCTTAATCAGTTGAGGATAATTGAGGCTAGTTAGCTAATTACTTAATCATCTGAATAGCTACTTGATAATTCCAGAACCCCTAGTTCATTATTAAGTTGTCCCTTTTAAAATCGTCTTTCCCCTTTAAGAGTGCTCCTCCGGATTTGTATGCCCCTGAGCTTATCGTTTAATGCTAACGGATTTTAACATCAGGGAAGTGATTACTATAGTCGACATCACTTTTATAGTATACCCACACAGTTGAACCCTAAACTTCAACCGAAAAGCTTAGGATGGGCCCTAAACCCCAAAATCCTAATCCCATAAGTCCTAAAACCCTAGGATGGATCCGTGATGGTCTTGTTCCTTCGTGCCCAAGATGGCAAAGCACAGCTTGGAAGGATAGGGACATACCTGGACAAAGTGATGCTTGGCCCCGAGGTTTTTTGATTTTGGGTTAAGGTTTAGGATTTAAGGTTTCTATAGGGCTTAGGGTTAAGAGTTCAGGATCTTTAGTTCGAGGTCATTCAGACTTACGCGGTTCAGGGTCTAGATGTTGGTCAAGGTTCAGCGATGTTTGGAGCTGGAGAAGTTGAGGAAACGAACGGAGAGCAGCATTGAATACAACAGTTTGCAATGGGGGTTACTATAGCGCCATGTGGCCCAACATAGGCCATTTGAAGCGACTCAGCCGACCTCACGGACGGTAAATGGTGGCTTATACAGGCCATAGTACCCAAATGGCCTTACATTGGGAATTGAAAATTAATCGTCATTACCCTGCATAGAGTAAGATTACATCCATTCTTTCATCATAGCGCTTTGCAAGAATGATATCGTGTTACTTGAGTCAACCAGCAAACGACAGCATGCGGGTACTGCCCCACCCCCCCTCAGCAACAACTGGATAATAATCAAGGTATAATTACATATAGCCCTTTCTATTTTCCTTGTACAGCCTGCGCTTCCCCCCTAGACCCTAAGCCCCAATGGACATCGTGGGCACCCAAACAATGCTTGTCCCTGGACCCTAAACCTTAAACCCTAAATCCTAAACCCTAAATCCTAAACTTCAAGCCCTAAATCCTAGATCCTAAACTTTAAGCCCTCAATCTTAAACCCTAAGCCCTAAGCCCAAGGACCACTTCCGGGAAGCTTCAAAAGCTTATAGACGACACAGGCTTCGGGATAGATCCCGTTTTCATGCCTGGTATGAGAACTCGAAGGTTTAGTTTAGGGGTTGAGGTTTTTAGGGTGTTTAGGGTTTAGGGTTGGTTTTTTAGGGTTTAGGGTTTAGGGTTGGGTTTTTAGGGTCTAGAGTTTAGGGATGAGGAAGGTTTAGTTTAGGATTTATGAATTTGTGGGCTTCGGTTCTTGGATTTTGGTATTAGGGATTTGTCGCAAGGATCTCCATAGAGTATAACAGCAAGGCTTCTCTACTGGGAAGTGATCATTTAGTCAGTGTGGTTTGGACGAATATGTCCTTGTAGATAGGTACTTGGAATCATATGTATGGAGACTTTGTGAATATCACTCCACATAATCACGGGCTGCACACATTTTAGAGGTACATGGACCCCTAGACCCTCTGGGTAAGGCCAGTCTAGAGCTTACCGCGCCCTTATTTGATGGTCGTAGTCGAAGGTTATTTGAGTCAAGGTTCTGGGTGCTTCAGGGTCCAGGGACCCAAATAATAGGGTTTTAGGACCCCCATACCATTAATGTTATAGTATTTGGGCCCCAAAAGCCTATTAGTTGGGTCCTTGGACCCTTAGGGGGGAAAGTATAGCGACGTTTTAGAAGTGAACCGGCATCTTACTGAAAGTACAAAGCAGGTAGCCACCTCTCCATTATTAACCCAAACCCTAGCCCTAAACCCTGAACCTTAAACCGCCTAAACCATTCATAAGGAACCTCCGCCTCCATGAGATTCAATATTGCTCTTTCGTCATTTTAATGTCGCCATGGAAAGTGGCCAATAACATGCGCCCGGGGAGGGACCTATCATCATAAGGAAACGGACCTAACATTCAACGCCCGGCGTGGACGAAAAAACAAATCACCACCTAGGGTTGGTAATTGCACTTCAGCCCAAGTTATCACAAGGTACTGCTATCTTAGAGTCTCGTACTAGTACTATCACTGGTGTTTCGCAAGCTGACGGTTAAGCTACAATCCCAGCGATTGATCCTAAGAACGCAATCTTGAGTACCTGAACCCCAAAAGTATGTAAAATAATGGCATTTTGGGCTTTCTTATGGGTTCGGGGTTAGTATTTTACCTACTCTTGGGGTCCAGGTACTTGGATCTGCAGGAGAAGGCGCCCCGTACCCAACGTCAGCATGTCATGTCTTTCCCTGAGGTCTACATTATCTATTCCGAGAGTGTTGTGGCCTCAAACCCTAAACACTACCGGAGGCTCAGCAGACCTAGCGCCGGACCCTTTATCCTTGGCTACCTTCTCCTAACATTTTCTAATCTTGACTCCCTCAGACCCCCAAACAACCCAAAAAACGACCGAAACACGCGCAACCTCGAAACCCTAAACCCTAAACTTGCCTAAGCCCGCATCTTAGACTCCCCAACCCAAGCCCAGGCACCAAGCCCAATTCATCCTGTATAGACACCAACCCCTTTACCGCCAAACCCCCCCAAAACCCACAACCCCAAACCCTAAATCCCAAACCCTAAATCCCAAACCCCAAACCCCAAACCCCAAACCCTAAACCCCAAACCCCCAACCCCCAACCCCAAACCTTGAACTGCGAGTTGAGTATGCCCGACCAGGCTTCACTGCCTCCCCAGCCACAGCCCAGGGCTCAGAAGCCGCATGTGCACTTAGGGTTTATAGTGCTTTTTTAGTTTTAGGGTTTGGAGTTTAGGGTGTAGGGTTTAGGGTTTTGAGGTTTAGGGTTTGGAGTTTAGGGTTTAGGTTTTAAGGTTTAGGGTTTAGGGTTTTAGCTTTAGGGTTTGGAGTTTAGGGTTTAGGGTTTTTAGTTTTAGGGTTTGGAGTTTAGGGTTTAGGGTTTTTAGCTTTAGGGTTTGAAGTTTAGGGTTTAGGGTTTTTGGCTTTAGGGTTTGGAGTTTAGGGTTTAGGGTTTGGAGTTCTGCCAGCCCTGAGCTAAGTTCGGAGACTCATCGACCCTAACTGAATCTAAACCCTCAACCTATCCCCCCCAACTAACCAGCTCATGGATTTTGGTTTCTGTCAAATTGCTTCAGGCATCAGTATGGGGATGTCTGTCCGGGGGTTAGAGCATTGTCTTTGTACACTAGGAGAGCTGCTACCCTGATGGAGCCGCTGGTCCAGCTTGGCTTGTGTGCATGTACAGGCCCTTGGCCGACAACTCACTTCGATTCCCATTTGAAATAGTCTAGACTCCTGCAAGGGGAATATATAGGGAACATGGAAAAGGTTCATGGTGGCCATAACTGGGGTTACTATATGGGTTAGAGGTGTACTTACGAGAGGTCCCGCGCAGACCCCAGATCTTGAACCCCAAACTCCAAGTCATCGATGAAGAAGCCCTGAACACCAAATCCTGGAACCCCGAATTCTAGACCCGAAGCCTTCGAATCTCAACCCTGAACCCTGAACCTGAAATTGTGATCCCTGGCGAGGAACACAGTCTGGAGGGAGGAATGTAGGGGAGGTCAGAATCTGCTTAAATGTGATACCGCACATGTTCAAAACATGCGCCTATAATGCCATCACGTAGGATCCCGTTTCTTTGCTAGCTATTTTTCAGCAGAGTTGCTTCCACTGGATTTCCCTCAATCCCGTCAACCCGCCCCCAATCCAAAAGCTCAACCCTACAATGGAGTCCCTAGAATGCAGCGTCTGTACGACCCTGCTATGTGAGTCCTCTAATTGCCTCCAGCATCACAGAATCCCAGAAACCTAACATGAAATCCCGAAGGGGTCATGGACAGGAAAACCACTGTCGGTTCAAAGAGTCATTTTTTAAGTTGCTCAGGCTCGGACAAGGGTATCAGTTTTTTCTAGTGGGTCTACACACCTTGAACCAGCCTACCCGGGTTGCTAAAAAACCAACAAATCAAACAGGATTGAGGGTTTAGGGGTTTAGGGTGTAGGGTTCAGGCTAATCAAGTATTACTTGCAGCTTGAGATCCGTACGGAGGAAGTGGTTGTCTGGGAACAACCATGTTGTTGCTCGTTGTTCTGGACAACCATGTACCAGAACCCCAACAGCATGTAGAATAATGGCCCATTGGGCAATCTTTAAAGTTTTTGTGCTATTTTTCTCACTACTTGTGCGACCCAGGTAGATGTTTTTTTTGGGCTATTATTCACACTACTTTTGGGGTCCAGGTAAAACTTAGGTTGGGCCCCCACTCACTCCTAGTGACCACAAGAGGTAATGGTAATAATATTAAGGTCCCTCCTTATTCCTAGTATACCACCATTCATGGGGGCCCAACCCAAGGTAAAACCTTTTTTTAACCCTGAACTTGCTGAGTCTGAGCTGCTGGAAGTCTCTGACAAAGGCCAATGGCCCGACAAAGCTGAGTGCTTCGGAATTGGGAGTTCGCAAAATGAACTGTAGGGGTTATAGGGTTTAGTGTCTAAACTCCTTGAAGGGGGTTATATAGGGTTTAGCGTTCAGGGTCTAAATCCCTTAAAGGGAGTCATATAAATGTAGGATGACATAGGGGACTACTATATAGGGGATATCAAGGGGGAGAGAAAGAGTTTACCCTACAGCTCAAGTGCTTCGGAATACGGAGTTCACGAGATTGGGGTTTAGGGTATACAGCTCAGGGCTTAGGCTTTAGGTGTCAAGGGTTCGGAGTAGAGGGGTTGACTGAAGACGTAGATTTTGGTGTTTACCCTACAACCTAAATGCTAAGCCCTTTTTGGTTTTAAGGCTCGATGGCCTTCGCTTTGTCAACTTGCTTCAAAATGCACCGTCCGGTATAAAGCTTGGTGTTTAACGTTGCCAATGTCCTAAGCACAAGCGCAAGAAGCACTAAGCCCTAAACCCTAAACTCCGGCAGGGCGCTCAACCTTGGGACCCTGAAGCCTGTCCCCTAAACCGAAAATGCTTGGTTAAGACTAGGGTTAAGGTTTAGGGTTTAGGGTTAGGTCTCAGGCCAGGAGCCTACATGGAGTTTAGCCCAAACCATCAAGATAAAACAAAGTTGCTGAGCAGGAATTTCATTTTCTGCCATTCGTAAGCCTGATTGCAATTTCTACTCGTTCCAGCGAAGAAAGGGATAATGCTTGGAGTACATTCAATAGAGATACATTACAGTGCTGGCTTAGCCAAAATGATTTGAGACCACCTTGCTGGTCGCATGAGCTGTAATCTAAACTTCTTAAAGGGGGCTATATAGGAGGGTGCTATAGGGGTTATTAAGGGGGATGCTAGGAGTTTAGACAATGGCTGACATGATGATGCGTATTTCCAGCTCACAAGGCTAAAGTTTTATGGTCCCACAACCACAACCCGGAGGCCCTCCCCAAAAGAATATAGGCGATTGCCAAATCCTAAACCCCACACCCTAACCCTAAACCCCACTGAAACCTAACTCCCAAACCCCAAACTCCAAACCCCACTAAGGCCTAACTCCTCAACCCCTAAACCCTAAACCCCAATAAAACCTAACTCCCAAACCCCAAACCCAATCCTTCAATAGGAACGTCCTGGGCTCCATCCGGGTGCATAAAGGATACCAGCGGTGGGCCCGAAAAGTCGGTAAATTACGCCTTCGCTGTGCCAGAAATTTTGTTTAAGGATTGTAGGTAGTACCTGAACCCCCAAAAATAGGTAAAATAATGGCCTTTATGGCTGTTATTCTGGGTTTAGGGCTATTATTTTACATACTTTTGGGGTTTAGGTAGAGCAGGTGCATATTTGGGGATGTTACATGGACAGTTATAGGGATCACTTCCCCCTTTCAAAACACATCTAAGTAGTATTTTATTCGGGGATATTATGGTACCCATTATAGAGTAAGATTCTATCCTCCTTTTGGGGTATAGTATTTTATATAAGGAATATGATCCTACTGGGTTTAACCACCAAAAAACGCTACTCATCTGATTTACAGCTCAGGCCCGAGCTTTCTACTAACCTCTTGTAAGTCGAGCTGAAGCGTTCAGGGTTTAGGGTTTAGGGTTTAGGGTTCGGGATTCAGGGTTCAGGATTTATCGTCCCCCTTAAGTAGATAGAACATGACCTCGGGTATGTTATACTCAGATCCCCATATACCCTAGATTCTACTTATGTAAGGGTGACTATAGGGTTGGTTTTGGGTTTATGGTTTTTTTGATGACCAGACTCGCCTAAACCGAACATGTAACCTGAAAAGGGGTCTGTAGCAGACTGGCTTCCTTTTAAAGGTGGGGCTATATGAGCCATAGTGTAAACTCCTTAAAGGGGGTTATACAGGGAATTATATAGGGGAGTACTATAGGGCTTATTAAGGGGGAGACTAGGGGAATGGCTCATATGGGGTTACATGTTTGCATGGAGGAGGGAAGTAAGATGATCTTGCCACAGCGATCCTCTACAATAGGGACCCTACTCTAGTCATATGAACCATAGTCTCAACTCCTTGTATGCCCCTTTCTAATCCCTACAGTAGTGCCGTAAGTAATCCCTTTGACAACACCCTTTTGTGGAATTGAGACTATGGCTCATATGATCGTCATAGGATTCTTACTTTCTGTGGTTTAGGGTAGCCAATCTCCTCCTCCTGATGGTACTCTCTAACAAGTATGACCGCTGTTCATATAGCCAGCCTAAACCCTGAACCTCAACACTAAACCCTAAACTGAATGCTTTTTGAAGCCAAGTCCTACTTCTGGTTGGTAAGTGAAGGAATGGGTTGTAGGAAGAGGGTTTAGGTTTAGGTTTAGGGGTTAAGGGTTTAGTGTTTCAGGTTTTATGGACTAGAGTTTCTATACTTGGGGTTTAGACATATATAAGGTCCCCCGCGAGCACTATGCATGTAGACGTAGAGCCAAAGAAAGCCCTGAACCCTCACACCAAACCTCAAACCCCAGAGCTCAACGAAATCGTTTGCTGGCAGGTTTGCAGAGAGTGCTCATGGTGGGCCTGGGGGAGAAAGATTCGGAGGACTGGAGAAAGGCCGGAGATCTTTGGGGTGTAGGCTCAATGGCGTAGGGTGTACCTGAACCCCAAAACCATGTAGAATACCAGCCCATTTGGCTACTTTTAGGGATGCTGGCCCATTTGTTACCTACTTTTGGGGTTCAGGTAGGTCCATATTAAGTATGGATCCTGTACACCTTGGAGAACCAATTGGAAAACATGGAAAATGAAAGGGAGGCTGGAATCATGAAGGTGTTTGGGTTTAGGGTTTAGGATTTAGGGTTTAGGTAGGGATCCTCTCGAACAGACGTTTCCCTGCTCAAGGGGTCCAAGCTGTGGATGGAGGAATTCTTGCACAGCGCCGCAGTTCAGGGGGTCGGGGGTTTGGGGCGTAGGGTTTCGGGATTTGTTTTCTTTGTTTCCCTGAAAATGTAGAACTTCTTTGTTTGGGTAAGTAGTTCTATAATATAGGTACTTGGTACCCTTCAAAGTCTTGCACCACTTTGGATCCCCCAAATACCGTAACTACTGCGGTATATGGAGTAACGGCTGGTGCAAGATTCCCTCCATCCACAGTAGTGCCCCTGCAGTCTTCACAAACTGCTAAGGTCCCACAACGGTACCTGCAATTCGAAGAAAGGGGTTTAGGGTTTAGGGTTAGGGCAAACCCGAATCCCTGAACCCTAAACCCTAAGCGGTTTTTGGAGGCCGGCGACACAGCAGGAGCGGCGATAGCGACCATTGAAGGCGGGACTGCGCCTGTCTAAGGGTTTGGGCTTTAGGGTTTAGGCTATCTAAGGTTAGAAGTGTGGGACGCTAATATGTGCTACTAGTCCTTTTAGGGGGATTCTAGGGAAGCTTTGGGCTACATATCAGGTATATAGTAGGAATACAAGGATTCCAGGGTTAAGGGCCCACACTAGGGGCCCATGGCTTCAACCTTAGAAGCTTTAAAACCCCATATCCTAAGGGTCCAAGCACCCAATATTTTGGGTGAGAATATTAATTGTAGTACAGGTATTGGGCAAGTATAAGATTATTGGGTACTGGAAGGAACCCTTGCGGTTATATGATTTAGGGATTTACCTTTACAAGGTGTCGCAAGTTTCGGGGAGCTATGCTTGGTGTCTGCGGCTTTGAACCTTTGATTTGCTTAGGTTTTTTCTTGTTTTTTTCTTTTCTTTTTTTTTGTTTAATGGTTTAGGGTCTAGGAATGGTGTCCTATTTCGAGGCACTTTCGTCCCCTAGTACATAGTAAGATAAGGTCATCGTTTTAAGCACCGTCAGCTTTAAGAAGAATATGGCCTAGCTCGTTTCAACCACCAAAAAAATGGTTCGCACACGGGTAGTTTCCAACATTAGGGCTGCTCTTCTCGTGACGGCAAGACTTGCTGCATTATTATTGGTGCCCCAGACGGGCCCGCAATTGTGAAAATCTGATGAAAGTAGTTCATCGAAACTCGACCAGGAAACGAGAAAATGGCTTCCTTGTAGTGGCTACAGACATTTGTACTTGGAGGGGCATGCTACTTTCGACCTTCTTTGCCACTGAAGTTCTAGGTAGGCATTTCACGGCGTGTTATGCGTTAACACGTCGCGTTGCAACTTCAAGTGTGGTTGACGTGTTTCTTTCACGGAAGACGACGCGTATCTTTTTTGACTTGAAGCGTGTGTTATGCTGGAATTGATGCACCTGTCACACAATTTGAGTGTGAAATTCAGGATATGGTTTATACTGTGAAAGCAATGCGTGATAAACAAAATTCGGTTCAACCAGTCGCTGAAGTTATTCCCCCTTTCGGCCGCCCAAGTCAAGAATAAACAGTTGCAATGTACAAGGTGTACATAGGTATAATCACACAGTAGGTTAAGAAAGGGGGCAGCATGTATGATTATATGGTATGGTTCTTGGCTTACTTACAACCCAGGAAACCACTATGCAGTTAGCTGTTTTCCTTCGATAATCTGATACAGCCCATAGCCCTGAGTCCTGAACCCCAAGAACTGGAGCCCTGAACCTGAAACTCCAAACCCAACATTCAGCCCCTACCAGCCCCACATCCAACCCCTAAGCCCTACATCCTAAACTCTAAACCCCTAAACCCCGGGCCTAAACCCTATAAACCTTAAACTAAACCGTACATCCTAGCCTTCCCAAGCCCCTTCCCTGTGTGGAATTTGTCAGGCAGTGCCTCTTTGGCCACATAGTTGCAATCAACGGAAATTGTAGGCTCTGTGTTTTAGGGTTTAGTGTTTTCATGGGGTTTCGGGATAATCAAATCCTGGTCATAGCTGTTTACCACGCCCTACGTACATTTTTTCCCTACTGGTAAATCCTACACCCACCCTATGCTCCTTATACCTTATCCATCTATACCTGGTACCCCCTAGATTCTGTTACACCGTAATTAAACCCTGCGGAGCTGCGTAGGGGCTAGGACACAACCCCAAAGTAAGCGGGACATGCGCGGTCCGGGTAGAACCATGCAATGTACGACTTGGGGCTTCAAGTTGTTTAGGGGCGAGGATTTACAGGGATTAGGTTCATCTGAACTGTCAAAATATGCAAAACAATAGCCCAAAGCCCCCAAAAAACCAAACAGGCCCTTATTCTACAAATGTTTTGGGGTTTAGGCAGGACTCAAGACTTCGGGTGTAGGGCTTTAAGGTCTTTATGCAGTTTAGGCCTTGAGGACAAGTTTTAGGCCTACAGGTTTAAGGCTTCAGGGTTTAGGTCTGAATCTAGGGTTAGGGTTCAGGGTTTCGGGTTTAGGGTTTAGGGTTCGGAGTTTAGGGTTTACGGGTTAGAATTTCGGGCTTGTTCTCCAATTCGAGGCGAGCTCTTGCAAAGCGTTCTGCCCACGGGACCCCTTGCATTGAACATCATTTTCTTGATTCTTGAGAGCTTTCTGTAGGCCAAAGGTTTTGAAGTATCTACATAGTGCAAAGTATGGTCGCGATGGAAAATAGTCCCATAGTCCCTAAATCAGTACGTAGGACACCTTGGGTAGAGTGACCCCCCAAAAACACCTAGCCACGCGATTTAGGTGTAAGGGGCGTTCACCAAATCTGCATTTTGGTGTGTTTGGTGATTCTTTACGGCTTGTCTGCAACCCCTGCCATGCGTCGAGTTTTGGACAACAGCTCTGAACAGTGAGTAGTGGACCTTACGTTTCAGAAGTTGCGGGAACAAGGGTTTGAATAGGAATCTTTGAGGATGGTAAACCCCAAGGCCTACACCCTGACATCCGATGCAATTTTGTGATCAACTTATACTTATGCAGGTTAGGTTAAGGTTTCCCTAAGGGTCCAAGCACCCAAATAATGGAGTTTCAGTGCCCAAATACTATGATATTAGTAGTATTTGGGCCATAAAACCCCATTATTTGTGTCCTTGGACCCTTAGGGTTTGGAGTCTTCGGAGTCCGGCTGTTGATGAAGAACATCCTCCTGTATGACCTTGTCCTGCTGCCTGACTTGTTTCCTCCAGGTCGATCGAAGGAATGAGGTTCATGAGCAAATGTAAATGTAAGCCTACTGGGAGAATAGATGGAAGTTTAGCTTGAGTTCAACACCCACTACGGACAGAACAAGCCTTAAACCCTAAAATCTAAAACACCCAAACCCCTAAACCCCGGAGACCTAAAACCTTACATCCTTAAGCCCAACACCCCAACACCCTACAGCCCTTCAACCCTAAAACCCTGAACCTGCAAGCCTGAATCACGTAGTAGAGCCACTCCCGGAGACCACCCAGGAACCTCCAGAGTTATAATGGAGAATCAAATGGAAAAGAAAATGGAAAATTAAATGGAAACTGGGTTTCTATAGGGGATTATAGGGTGTAGGGTTTAGGGTTTAGGGTTTGGGGTTTAGGATTTAGGATTTAGGATCTAGGGTTTGCGGTTTAGGGCCAAGGATTTAGGGTTTAGGGTTTAGGGCTTTGGGTCCATGAGCCCATCAAGCGCCTAAACCATGTGGCAAAGGTTTGCATCGATGGTGTAGAGGCAATTAGCGTGGCTTTTGTGCATCCCACCTACCGAGGGTTGGGTTAAGGGTTTAGGGTTTAGGGTGCAGAGGGTTAAGGGTTTAGGGTTTAGGGTGCAGCGTGTTCAGGGTTCAGGGTGAAGAGGGTTTAGGGTTTGAGGTGCGCAGGATTTAGGGTTTAGGGTGCAGAGGGTTTAGGGCTTGGGGTTTAGGGTACAGAAGTTTGGACAGGGAGAATTGTTCTTGGAATTCGCACAGGTTACTCATCAGGGAATAGAATCCCTATATAATCCCTATGCTACATAATATGCGCTTATCCCCTACTGAGAACGAGTAAGTTTACTGCCAATGGAAGCTTTTATCTTTAGACTTTCATCCCGGGTTCGAGCTGTGCACTTGCTCTGGGTGCGCATCCTGTATGTTGGGACCAAAGAAGCCATGCAAGCAAACTGCTAAACCCTAAACCCTAAACCCTTAAACCATATGCGCATGTGTCAGCACCAGGACGAATGCAGAAGATCTCCATACCCAGACGCCCAAAGCATGTAAAACACATTCTAGAAAATGGTAGGGTTTTCAGATTTACGGTTTAGGGCTTAGGGTTCAAAATTGCAATTCTTCTACATACTTTCGGGGTTCAGGTAGTAAGTAGGAATCCAAGCTTCCAGAGCACTCTTTGGCTTTTTGTCAGAGTCCCTGCATTTCTGAGGACGTAGACTTGAGGATTGATCTTCAGAAACCCTGTATTTCTGTAGACTTCGAGTTTCGGATTTAGAGTTTGGGCTGTATATAGGGCTAGGAGCTCGCGGTGAGCGTTTCTGTAAGGCATTCCCTACTTTGGGCTCTTCGCGCTGTTCTCCAAGCCCTGAGCCCTCCACCCTACCCCTTACCTCAACCCTCAAAGTAGGTAGACGTCTAGCCCGAAAACTATTAGAACCAGCCAAAAGGCAATTCATCTACATACTTAGGGGGTTTAGGTAGATCCTCGACGTTTAGGGCTTAGGGTTTAGGCCCTGGACCCTCTAAAGCCTACATCCCAAGGCCTGAACCTTGAGCCTTGAACCCCTGACCCTAAGCGGTAAACCTTATGCCCCCAAACCCCTAAACTATACTCTCCTTAGGAATATTTCGGAATTATGTTTAGTGTTATTATAGTATTTGTATAACCAAAAATGTTTTTTTTATTATAGGTCTAAGGAGATTGCAGTAAACCCTAACCCTTGAAACCTTAAATCCTCAACCCCAAGCCCTGAACCCTCTAAACCTTTCACCATCTCAACCTTGTATAGCCCGCGCTTCCAGTTCATTATTCTTGTCCAGTACAAAGAACCCTGTTCAATCCCCGTAGAGCCTTTAAAATGACCTCCTTGTTGTCCATTGTGTTTTCCGTTTTACCCCGCCCTAAATCCTAAATCCGAAGCTCTAAGCCCTGAGCCCCAAGTCTAAAACCCCAACCCCTAAACCTTAAACCCTAAACCCTAAACCTTGAACCCCAAACCCTGTTCAACCTGTAGGTGCAGCAGCTCATTGAAGGCTTGCTTGGTGCACTTGGCTCCGACAGCCTGACCAGCGTGGAGCCCGCTGGCTGCGAACATATGGTTTATAGCCTAAATTCCTGGAAGGAGGGTGATACTGTTGATGGAGGAAATCTTGCACCACCTTAAGTCCCTAAAGTCCCAGCAATTCCAGTAGTTTAGGGGCTCTAAGTGGTGCAAGATTTCTTCCATCAACAGTATGTAGGGGAGTTTATAGGGGTTATTTAGGGGGACTATAGCTCTTATGAGTTATCATCGAAGCTCCTGAAAAGGGGGTTATACAGGGGACTCCATAGAAATTATGAAGGGGGGTACTAGGAGTGTAGATTATAGCTCATATGGTCTATATAAGGATCCCTCGAAGTTCATTCTAGATGTAGGAAGCATGATTCATGGTTTGGGGTTTAGGGTTCATGATTCAGGGTTCAGGGTTTAAGGTTTAGGGTTTAAGGTTTAGGCTTTAGGGGTTAGGTTTTAACTTAGGGTTGAGGGGTCCGGAGGTCAGAAGGTCAGGAGGTCAGGGTCTAGGTTTTAGGGTATGGGGTCTAGGGTTGCAGGGATCCGTTTCAAGGTTTCAAGGGGATACAGGTTTGTTGTAGGCTGAGGGTCATAGTTGGTTGAGGGTTTTGGGAGTATACACGTGCATATGTGTGTAAAGGAAGAAGCACACAGGGATCCGTGTGGTTCGGGGTCTCGGGTTTCATTTCTATTTTGGTTCAAGCGTTTTGGGGGTCAAGACTTTTGCTTTGCGGTTGCTATCATCCGGCTGCCTGCCATCGGGTTTCGCGTTCCCACGGGCCATGCCTGCTGATGTCGGTTTGCAGACAGCTGAGCAAGTCCAGTGCGAGGAGTGCAAAGAAAAAGCCAGGGACCTTGAACTGTACAAGCGCCAGTTACACAAGGCGCAGGAGAAAGTCGCAGAACTCGATGCTGTCCCAGGCACAGGACCAGGCTCGGGAACTTCGAGCGCAGCGCCGAGAAGAAACAACGCAATTCCGCCAAGCGGGGTGCAAAGGGGCGAAACGTGACCATGTTTCCATTGGCCTCATACTGCAAGCCCCACCCTTTAATAATGAAGAATCCCCCAAGCATAGGAGGGTACTGTATTGGGGGGTCTTATCTGGTGCACATTGGCGACCACTTGGAGCTTGACATGAAAAATCGTCGCTGTACGCAACCTGCAACTGATTCTTCATAGATAGCCTAGTAGGGTAGTTCAAGATTTTCAGAGAAGGCGCGGATGAGGATCGCGTGCGGGAACGCCCCCGTGGAGAAAGGACGATTGGGAGCAGATTTCCTTTCGGGGGGAATGAAATATGAGCTATAGTCTAAACTCCTTAAAGGGGGTTTTATAGGGGATTATATATGGTAGTATTATAGGGGTTATTAAGGGGGATACGAGGAGTTTAGACTATAGCTCATTTAACCAAGAGGTGGCAATTGTTGGGACAGGTTTGTTGAACAACTAGCAGTAGTTTAGGGCTGGGGATAGGTTTA